TGTCTTGAAAAATCAAAACAAAACAAAAAGTTAAGAAATTTCGTACAGTGTTTCCTTTCCTTTCCTTTTCTTTTGAGGCAAGGCCTCAGTTTGAAGTCTAGACTGTCCTGGAACTCTTGTAGACAGCCTGGCCTTCAACTCACAGCCCTCCTCCTGTCTCAGCCTCCAGGGTGCTGGGATTACAGGTGTGCATCCCATCCAACTTAGCACTTGGTACTGCTGTAGGAGCCATATAAGTATTCATTTACATACAACACATAGCCATCCTTGCAGTCACCAGAAGAACCTCCCATCCTTTCTGGGTTTTTTTTTTTTTTTTTTTTTTTTTTTTTTTTTTTTTTTTTTTGAGATAGGGTTTCTTTGTGTAGCCCTGGCTGTCCTGGAACTCATTCTGTAGACCAGGCTGGCTTTGAACTCACAGAGATCTGCCTGCCTCTGCCTCCCGAGTGCTGGGATTAAGGGCATGTGACACCAGTGCCCCGCAGGACCCCTATTTTTGCAGATGGGAAAACATCGAGGAACAGCTTGCCCATAGTTGCACAGGAGGAGGGATCTGACTGGAGCTGGGGAGTCTGTCTCTAGGAAGATATGATCTCAGCCTTCCATTGTTCTGTATCCCTGCCCACCTCTGAGTAGAAGTGTTACAAACAGGGCCGGGAGTAGACGCAGCCAGAAATTGGCTTCAGACAGGATGTAGGCAGTGGGTCGTGCTGTAGGCTCCCAGAAGCTGTGTTTCCTTTTACTGTGGTACAGACTTTGCTAGCCTCAGTCTCCCTGTCTGTAAGATGGGGACAGGAACAGGCCCCTCTGTGGAAGAGAGTTTCTTGGAAGGTCCTTTGTGTACTCGAGGATGCCATGTGCCCCCATTTCACTGTGGTGCGAACATGTCCATCATCCCTTCGTTTCCTTCTGGGATGCTTCTGGGGAGACCCTGCTCTCTGGGAATCGCTGCCATTTCTCTGCAGAGCTGGAACTGGCTCTGAAGTCAGCTTCGCTCTTCAGAGAGAGAGTGTGTTTTCAAGGCACAGAGGCTGGAATGTTGGAAATTCAAATGAGCCACATGAACACCTTTTATTTTTGTTCGAAACATCTGAGTCTCCCTGCGGGGGACTCCTCGGCCCAGAGTAGTTTCTCCCTTTGTGCAAGAGAGGATGTGAGAACCCCCCCCCCCCCCCCCCGGGAGCAGACTGAAGCAAGGTTATCAACCTCTCACCCACCCTGGGCCTTGCCACCAAAAATAGCAAGGGCCAGGGTGTTAGCCCTAGGGAGGGGGTGGCTGGGGAAGCCTTTGAACCAGGAGATACCTGGGAGCTAAGGCTGGGTTTGTTAATGTGCAGGAAGGTAGCAGTAGGTGGCCCTGGGTTTTCTTTGGCTCCAGGAAGGCTAATATCATCAGCTCCAATCAACAGCACCAGGGCCTGGGAAGTGAGGCCAGGGCTTAGCTCATAACCTGCTGTATGACACTGGGTAACTCATCTCCTTGCTGAACTTCTGTTCTTTCTTCCACAGCCCGGTCATCTGCAGCGTGGTCACTTACGGATGGATTCCTTCCTCCCGTGGCCTTCCTAGATTCATGCCCTAGAAGTCTTGCTGTAGTACTGATCTTCGCCCCTCCTTGGAGTGGGGTTCAGGCCTGGCCAGTCTGTGACCTGGGCTGAGATCTTTAAAAAGCCGCAAGACTACGTGGTCTGTGAAGACGGTGGGTTTCCTATGACTCCCTCCTGAGGGAGCTGCTTTAAGGAGGGGAGAGGCTGTGAGCATACAGACAGACCAATGGCGCCTTCATGGCCAGGGACAGGTAGATGTTTAACCATCAGGGCAGCTCAGACATGGACCTACGTATACATTTGGGGAAGGGGCTACTGCCCTGCCTGCTAACTCTTGAGCTCTAGGGTAGGGGGAGATCTGGGGCCCTGGGCCTGTAGCCAGGGAAGAGCCTACTTATTAACTGGTATGGAAGTATGTCACCATTTTGACAGTCTGTGTGACCGCATGAAGACTTGGTGTCCATCAGCATGCTTGTGGGGAGGGTAGATTAGAGAAGACTGCTGGGACCTGGGACCAGGTTTCTAGTCATCAGAAAAATGCCTTCTCTTAGAGTGAGGACAGGTGCTGGTCTCAGTTGGCCCAGAGCCCCGCCCTCCTGCCTGTTCTGGGGGTCTGGGGGGAATGGCTTTCTCACCCGGGCTGGGGTGCAATGAAAAGGCACTTCCCCTCTCCCTCCTTCCCACACAGAACCCTTGGCTCAGGGGTTGGGGATTTAGCTCAGTGGTAGAGCGCTTGCCTAGCAAGCACAAGGCCCTGGGTTCGGTCCTCAGCTCTGACAAAAAAAAAAAAAAAAAAAAAAAAAAAAAAAAAAAAAAAAAAGAGAAAGCAGAACCCTTGGCTCTGTGGCATACTTAGGGCAGGAGGTTGCTGGGCAGCTGCCAACCACAGGCCAGGTGGCCTTAGCCCCGGGATCCTCGTTGTCTCTTTATTCAGTCTTTTCTCTTTCCTTCCCAGCATGGCTATCCCCCTCTGCCAGAGACCTCATCCGCTAAGCAAGGACTCTTCTTGTCTTCTTCCTTCCTGGCCCCCAGAAAACCTCGAGATGGAATTAGAAGGTTGAGGGGTAGTGGGAACAGGTGCAACTTAAGGGCAGCTGGGGGGGGACGTTGGATTCTTGGTGTGGGGGGCCCCTGCACTGCCGGCTCCTCCGACTTCCCCGTGCAGCAATTTCAGTTTCTATTTTAAACAGTTTGGGTTGGTTGCTTCTCTGCCTTCCTGCTGGGGGTTTATAGTGAGGAAAATAATTGGTAATATTTGCACAGATGTGCTGGCACCGCAGCAGCTCATCACAGGCACCTTTACCCAGGGGACTGCCCCAGCCCCAGCCCCCAGTCTCTCTGCCAGCCAGAGGAACCAGCCTGAAAGGGAGGAACAGACAGCCCCGAGCCTAGGGCAGGAGGCACAGGCGGAACAGGGAAGCGGGAGGACTGAAGTGCCCCAGGCATGCCAGAGGCAGGTCTCATCCGCAACAGGGGAGTGTGATTGCCTGTGCTCCAAGGACTCCAGGACAAGCCCAGGCTCCACAGAACAGGCCCTTCCCAGCAGGGGGAGTGGGAAGCCCCCAGGGCCCTGCCTCTCATCCCACTATCTTTGGTAGAGCCTAAATTTGTATCGGAGGGTAGGGATGGAAGTGAAAAGGACGGGAAGAGGATGTTTGTGTGGTGGGAACCAGAGACTAGGGTTGAAAATAGTAAATCAAACTAGGTAAGGGTGGTATGTGCCCATATGAGGCAGCCTGAGAGACATATTGAGATTCTGTCTTGAGAAAGAAGGGAAGAGAGGAAGGAAAGGAGGGAGGGAGGGAGGACATAGGAAGTCAGTCATATGGTTCCTTTTCCTTCTTCTCAAGGCCTAGAACAGCACACTGGAAGACTGGGAAGGAAGTGAGCGCTGTCTGGGCTGTGAGGCAGACTGCCTGGTTAGGACTGGGACCTTGTACCAGCCAAGAGAAGGAATGCTACCTCAGGGTGAGCAGAAATGGAAGAGAGTCTTCCTAGCTCCATCCTCGCCTCTGGAGCGACCACGTGCTGTGTGCGGTCTGCATGGGCCTGTGTGTAGGTGCGTGTATACGCAAATGTGTGCACATATGGTGCACAGGCATAGGTATATGAATGTGCAGGTGTGTGTCTGGGTTTGGGTTCCCTCAGAGCTGACCCCGAGAAACACCCAATGGGGAGCTGTTTCAGGCGGTGCAATAGAGCAATTGGGAGGAGAGGGAGGGAGGGAGCCAATGAGGGCCAAGCTACCAATGAACTGCTGCAGTGAGAAGCAGAAGAGGTCCTGCTGGGGAGCCCTGAGAGCCAGGGGGTGATATGCCTCACCTTCCATCCAAGGGGCAAGACATCAAAGCTACTTATCCACCCATTCCCATCAGGCATTGAGTGAAGGCAGCATCACCTCTCCAGGACTGTGAGCTGGACCTGCCTCTGGCCATCTGTCACCTAGTCACAGTACGCAGAGAGGGCAGAGGGATCCGGGTGGATGCTGGCACATGTGCTTAGTGTGGGGATGCGGTGATGTGACACCCCAGGGACCTTCAGGTGGCTCCCTTAGGGGCTGGCCTCAGCGGAAGAAAACTGGCTCATTCAAGGTCACACTCCTTTCTGGGTGGCCCAGTGACTGATAGATGAGAGAGCAGCAAGATGTGGCTCATTGCCCTATCTTGTGTCAACCCTGAAGAGCACCCTAGCTCGACTCTGGGTTGGTCCAGACGGTCATCATGGACTACATGGCAGCCTGGCCTCTCGCTATTCCCAGACCAGCCACCTCCCTTCCACAAACACACCCTACATACTAATTTCTCTTCTAAGATCTCTAGCTCACGCAGTACACATGGTTGTGTGTACAGATACACAGAGCTGAGTCTTATATATGGACGTCCATAGGGTGTGGGGCATGCATAACACAATTCCCCAGGACCTTCTAGACACAGTGACTTTGGTGCCAGGCTAGCTCCTCTGCTAGGGGCCTAGGACTAAGAGGATACTGGGGATTTGGTGCCGAGGCTAGAACCTGAGGCACAGATGACTTCCTCTCCACATTTCCCAGGAGCAGCTCTGGGGACGGGAGATGTGGAAGAGCCAAAAATGGATAGCAGGGGGATGGGACCATTGGCATGCTGTACCCTGTTTCTACCCTTGGTAGTTCCAGGCAGCTGTGTAGAGCACAGTCACACTGGTTGTGCTCTCCCTTCCTGCCCCCTAATGCTCTTACACATAGGAGAGCTTTTTTTTTTTTTTTTTTTTTTTTTTTCAGGCCTGCGTCTTATCTCACCTCGCCTTGCATAAGTCAAATGCAATCCATCAACCTACATCCCGGGTACCCCGGGTCGAGCCGTCTGAGGGCAGCATTGGCCTCTGGCCCCTTTTCTTGAGGCCCATATGGACATGGGGTGATGGAGGTCAGCACTGGAGGATCATGGGATACAAGCACAGGACAGCAAGAGGCCTAGCTGGCACCAGGTATTACAGAAAAGTTTATTGTCAGGATAAATAAAGACCGTATGGGGACATTAAAACCGCCAGTGCAGGGGGTGGAGCGTGGACAACACCTGCAGTGAGGGGAATGGGGAGGGTGTGGGAACCAAGGACAGTGAGTGGTAGAACCAGAGCGTGGAAATGGCCAGGTTCCCCAAATCGTGCACAAGAGTCCTGCAGGCTGAATCCCGGTGGGCCTGCCTTCCCGCTCCTCCGAGTCCTTTGCTCTTGATGTCTCTGAAACTGTCATTGCCTTGGGGTGGAGGGGCTTGAAAGCAGTCCTGAGTGGCAATTATCGGTGAAGGTGCTCAGGGGCCGTTACCACCATTACCCCATCGTCCAAAGATGGGAAAATGTCGTGGGTGGAGAGAAAGGCTTGGCCTTCCTGCTTAGGTTGATGGAGGGTTTAGAAATGGCTGCACAAAAATTACTCCAGACTGGATAGTCCAGGCAGAACCCTATTAGCCTGGGAACCTCCATGGGAGGCTCTTACACACCCTTGCCCACCAGCATGGAGAGTTACATAGAAGTAAATCCCTTAGGTGGATTCTGCTAGTCCTCCTAGACTTTGCTCAGGGGACACCTCCTCCCAAGCACTGCTGACTGCGCCACCGTTCACATCTGTCCATGTCCCTCCTCTGTCTGCGTTTCCCACCTCCCAGAGTCCCTTCTCACTATTGTCCCATAAGCCTGGATCCAGGACCCTGCCCTAGCTAGGGAGTAACAACACCCTTCTCAGTCTCCCCTGCTGTGGGGTACCATCTCAGGGCCCTCCCAGCAGAGCCCAGAAAGGATGGGAGAGTGAAGAACAGGGGCAGAGGGAGGGGGCCACGTGGTCCTGCGGTATCCCAGGCCTCCATCCTCTCTGGCACTGCACTTGCCTTTTGTGTGGAACAGAAAAGCCCCCAGCAACCTGCTCTTAGCACAGAACTCACCAGTGCCATCTCCACCCTGGGAGATGCCGCAGAGTATCTTCCACGCTAACAAGGGAGTACCCAGAGTCAGAAAGAGCAAGGGATGGCTGGGGCCCATGGAGCTCTTTCCTGATTGGTGGATCTTGGGCATCATGGGGGGTGGGGTAGCTGCTCAAGATGTGTAGAGGGGAGAGCCCCATGGGCTGAAAAAACTGGCCACATCCTTTGTTTCTCGGGCACTCCTTTTCCTCCCCGGAAGCTCCTGCTTTTTCTCTGTGGGGAAACTGGCAAGGAGGAGAACTGAGCTGCCTGTGAGACCGAGGCCCTGTAGGGAATGGGCAGCCTAGGCTGGGCTAGGCCTGTTGGACAACCCTGCCTCTCCTGCTTCCCATCCATACCAGGCCTGCTCTGGGACGGGGAGTAGTGGGCAAGAGGGCTGTGTAGGCTGCAGAATGGGAGACCTCCCCTCCACAAACACAGGTTCACCTCAGGGTCAAGGCTCTCCATAGAGCACACAGTTCCAAGCCTTACACCTTCCTCTGGCGGACCGGGAGAGCCAGGATGAGGATCCTACTGACCACTAGCCATGGCCATTCTGGGACATGTAAGCAGCCAGAGCCACCACCACAGCCACATAGAGACCGGCCCCCACAGCGATGGAGAGGGTGGCCAGGAAGAGGGCCCGGCGGGAAGTGGTGCTGGCCAGGCGGAAGTCCCCTTTGGAGATGGCCTTGCTGGTCTAGGGAGACAAAAGGTTGACATAAGGCAACATCCTCAGACCCAACAAAACAGCCCAGTCCACCAGGCCCTTCCCGTCCTGCAGGTGAGTGTCAAGTCCTCCAGCTGAGAGAGTGGCCGGCCAGAGAGGCACCCCGGAGTCCCCTGTACACTTACCCCCTGGGAGAAGTAGAAGGCAGCGATACCCAGAGGCCAGAAGCAGCACAGCATGGAGAAGAGAGTGAGCCCCAAGTGGTCCCTGGGAGGCAGGGTGAGGAAGGTGTCTTCACTTTCGCTCTCCGTCGAGGTTGCATCACTCTGAGAGAGAGTGGGGTTTGGTAGCAAAAGCCAGGGTCTCACAAACCCTGTCAGACTGAGAAGAGTTAAAAACACACAGTTCTTTTGCCAGCCGCTAATCCCTGGGACCCAGAGGTGGAAGGAGATCATTGACTCCCATAAGTTATCATTTGACTCCCACACCTATCCTGTGACCATACATCCAGTAAAGTAGAGCCAGGTGGTGGTGGCGCACGCCTTTAATTCCAACACTCAGGATTAGAACTCTGTGAGTTCGAGGCCAGCCTGGTCTACAGATCGAGATCCAGGAAAGGCACCAAAACTACACAGAGAAACCTGTCTCAAAAAAAAAAAAAAAAAAAAAAGAAAGAAAGAAAGGAAAGGAAAGAAATAGATAGATAAATAATGTAGGTTTTGTTGTTTTGTTTTATGCAACAACAGAACAGGGAAACAGGCATTATCCAGTGGGCAGATACAGAGCAAACTCTGCTGTTGAGAGCCAAGGCTGGTCTTATCACACCGTGTCATGTGACCTGGTGAATGGTACCTTTCGGAACTTCTCGCCACGGAAGAATGCAAGCCTCTGAATGTAGAGATGCTCATCACAGGACAGAGACTGGCGAAGAATGGAAGATGAGAGGCCTTCTCAGGGCCCAAAGACCAGGGGATCAAGTTAACAAATGATCGAAGGGCTCACAGTGAAAGACCCTGTCACTTTACAAATCACCTCGTAGAACATATTAAATTACATGGAAAATCAGGTTATAAAGCCACATACTTTGTGGGAGAGAGGCAGAGAGGAAACCTAATCAGCCACCAAAATAATCACATTATTTTCAAGTGATTAATAGTCACTATTTACAATGATTGCTATTTATCACTTGGGTTGATAAATAGTTAACTCAAATGAGTGTCTTCCTCCTCCTTCTTCAATAGCATATCATGTAGCCCAGGCTAGCCTTGAATTCACCAGGTAGCCAGAGCTGACCTTGGACTCCTGATCTTTCTATCTCCACCTCCCAAGTGTGCTTTCTTTTTTGAGACAGGGTCTTACTGTGTAGTGCAGGATGTCTTTGAACTTTATATAGACCAAGTTGACACCAAATGCCTCACCTTCCTGCCTCTACCTCCTGAGTGCTGGGATTAAAGGCATGTTATCACGACCAGTTTAGAATCTACATTTAAAAAAAAAAAAAACACAAAATGCTACTTACCTCCTCCTCCTGGCTGTCCTCCTGGCCCTGCAGCTCCTCTTGAACTCCATAGGACACAGTGTGGATAGTGACATCCTCCTCAGTTTGACCAGGTTCTGAGCCCTGTTCCGTGGGCCCCACTGGGGGCTCCCTGGCCTCGGTGAAGCTGGTCTCACAGCTGCCTACTTTGGGCTCTTTGACCTTGTCCTTCCCCAGGAGGCAGCTGGGCCGATACCAAGCCTCCACGGCCAGCTGTAGGGACCCCGGGTCTAGGAGCTGGTGGGTACGAGAGGGACCAGCACCTCCTAGGAGGTAGGAATAAAGCTTCTCTTGGCAGGACCAGCTGGCTGGGGCCTCCGTATAGGGGTAGGGACTGTGGAGGTGGGTGGGGCTCCTCGGCAGCAGGGGGTTCTGTAGTTCACTCAGGCTCTCCATGGTTCTGCCTGCAGTTGCCAGGGCGGGGAGTCTCAGTCCACCACTCAGTCCTCACGGAACCTGTTAGGAGAGCAAGACAGGTAGTCACTGGATACGTGGCCTGGAGTGGTTAAACCTGTGAACATCTGTGTCCCAAGTTGGCCCTAAGCCCGGCTTTGCCATTTTCACTGGTGGGACCTTGAGCTCGCTATTGCTCAGAGCCTCAGTTTCTCTGTCTGTGAAGTGGGGATGGTAGTGGTACTCACTTCCGAAAGATGATTCACTCATTTTCTTACTTGGCACGTGATTAATCAGCACTAGCTATATGCCAGGCTCTGGAGCAGATGCCGAGAATACAGCAGTGAAAGAAGCAAGTCTGGGTGAAAGGGAGAAGTGTGTCTGCCTGTCTTCAGGGGTCTAATCCGGGTGCAGAAGACGGCTGTAAAACAACTTGTCTATCCCGAAGAAGGACAGCACACGGCGGCACACAGACTTCACTGCAGTGGGCAGAACCGACGGGGAAAATTTTGTCTTGAGATGTGGAGAAGCCAGCTTACAAGGTGAGGGGAATGCTGCTGTAGCCTGGAACTGAGTGCCCCCAAAGACCTAGGCGTTAAAGCAGTGATTCTCAACCTGTGGGTCACAGCCCCCTCACAGGGTCGCATATCAAGATATCCACATAACAATTCATAACAGCAGCAAAATTACAGTAACAACGAAGGAATTTTATGATTGGGGGTCACTACAATATGAGGAGCAATATTAAAGGGTTGCAGCATTAGGAAGGTTATGTTAAAGGCTTAGTAGTCCTTTGGTGTATGTGAAGATTGAGGAAACCTTTAAGAGGCGGGGCCTAGTGGGAGATTTTAGGTCATGGGGGTGTGGCCTCGAAGTGGATGGCTGGGATGCTGGTCCCTTGGGCCCACTCAGACTCCTGACCTCTATAAGGGAAACAGCTCTCTGCATTTTAAGCTCGTTGTGATGCTGGCAGCTTCAGCGCACGCGCAAAGCGTCACTGTAGATTTTAAGCTGGAACCCCTGAAGGAGTCAAAACAGGCCTTTATTCCTCTTAAATCGATTGGGTATTTTGTTGCAGCACCAGAAAGCATATTTCACACAGAGGGAGGAATATCTGCGGAGGTCCTGTGGCTGGACAAAGGACGGCGGGGATGAGGGTCAGAGAGAGGGCTGGTGTGGCTCAAGGTGCAGGCGGAGGGCTGAGGGTCAAATGTGTAGCCTTGCCGAGGTCTAAGGGACTGTAGAAATCAGCGGGAATGATGGGTGAGATTTGGTACCCTAAGTGTTTTTCTATGCTTCTCATGCAGGGTGCATTGGACAGGGTCTAGTCCAACCGTGAAAGCATTATGATGCTTTGTGTATATTAAATAATTAAATATTTATTTATTTATTTAGAGACAGGGTTTCTCTGTGTAGCCCTGGTGGTCCTGGAACTGGCTCGGTAGACCCGGCTGGCCTCAAACTCAGGTATCTGCCTGCCTCTGCCTCCCGAGTGCTAGATCAAAGGCTTGAGCCACCACTGCCCAGCTTTAAATATTTAAGATTAATATTTACTGTCTTTTACTTATGTGTATGTATATGTGTGTGCAAACACACAAACCCTTGAAGAGGCTAAAAGAAGGTTCTGGATCACCTGGAGCTATAGTTACAGATAACTGTGAGCCGCTGGATGTGTGTGCTGGGAACTGAACCCTGGTCCTCTGTAAGAGCAGCAAATGCTTTTAACCACGGAGTCGTCTATTCAGCTCTCTCTCACACTCCCTGCTGCCACCCATTTATTTATTTGTTTGTTTGTTTTTCAAGACAGGGGTTCTCTGTGTAACAGTCCTGGCTGTCCTGGAACTTGCTTTGTAGACGAGGCTGGCCTTGAACTCACTGAGATCTGCCTGCCTCTGCCTCCAGAGTGCTGGGACTAAAGGTGTGAGCCCTCATCACCCAGCTTTATTTATTTTTCTTTTCTTTTTTCTTTTTCTTTTTTTTTTTTCTTTTTGGTTTTTCGAGACAGGGTTTTTCTGTGTAGTTTTGGTGACTGTCCTGGATCTTGCTCTGTAGACCAGGCTGGCCTCGAACTCACAGAGATCTGCCTGGCTCTGCCTCCCGAGTGCTGGGATTAAAGGCATGCACCACCAATGCCTGACTCATTTATTTATTTATTTATTTATTTTTATTTTTATTTTTTTTTTTGTTTTTCGAGACAGGGTTTCTCTGTGTAGCTTTGCGCCTCTCCTGGAACTCACTTGGTAGCCCAGGCTGGCCTCGAACTCACAGAGATCCGCCTGGCTCTGCCTCCCGAGTGCTGGGATTAAAGGCATGCACCACCAATGCCTGACTCATTTATTTATTTTTAAGACTGGGTTTTATTATATTGCCTAGGCTAACTTCGAACTCACTGTATAATCCAGGCATAGTGGCTTATACCTATAAACTCAGCGCTCAGGTTTGTGAGACCTTGTCTCCAGACAAAACAAAGCAACAATAAAACCCACCCCCAAACAACCAAATAATTAGAAACTCACTATGTAGCTGAAACTGGCCTTGAAATCTTCCTGCCTCAACCCCCCACTTTCGGGGTGTGCACGAACACTCCTGGCTCGTTGGTGGGTGGAGTTTACTGTGTCTCTAGGTAAACTGAGGATACTTGGAACTCCCTGATGATACAGGCCTGTAATCCCAGTTATTTGGGAGGCTGAGGCAGGAGGGCTGCCAAGTGCAAGGTCTGCCTCAACTACAGAGATACTGGGAGCTCAGTGGTAGAGTTGGAGAGACGGGGACAGGCGACGTTACCAGGTCTTGGTAGCAGATGGGACTGGGGGCTGAAGGAGAGCTTATTCTCAAGTCCCACCACCCCACAAATGTAGTTTTAAGAAGTGCACTTCAGGCTAATCTGCCCTCAAGGTAAACTGTGAGCTTGGAAAGTTCCTGCAAGACCTAAGGCACCCAAGGGTACTGAAGCCTGCATCTGTACACTCCGCTGAAAGTGCACACATGTGGTGATATATTGTGTACCTAATAAGTTTGTCTGAAGATCAGAGAACAGAACAGCCACTAGATTAAACATAGAGGCCAGGCAGTGTTGGCACACACCTTTAATCCTAGTACTCAGGAGGCAGAGATCTGTCTGGATCTCTGTGAGTTCAAAGCCACCCTGGACTATATGAGATTGACTCCGTCTAGGAGAGAAACAGACCCAGGCAGTGGTGACACACACCTTTAATCCAATACTTGAGAGTCACATGCCTTTAATCTGAGCACCGGGAAAGTTGAGACAGGAAATGATATGAGTGGGCGGAGAAAGGTATACAAAGTGTGAGGAGACAGGAACTAATGTCTTTCAGCTGAGGAAAGCTCTCAGGCTGAGGAGTCCTAGAGGTAAGAGGTGGCTTGTTCCTTTGTCTCTCTGATCTTCAGGCAAATTTATTAGGGTACACAATATATCACCACACACACACCATCCATATGCACGGATTAAAAATGCACTGAAGGGGGCTGACTTCTGACCTTCAGCCAGCTGTCTATCTGGTAGCTGGAAGGTTGGCTGAAGGAAGGAGAAGAGCCACTGAATATATCTGCAACAGATCCACACACTCAGGCAGGGAGGGGCAGGTATGGAGAGAGTGGGCTGAATCGGCCTCAGGAACTTCTGTGAAGTTGCGGGGTGGTTTGGGTGTAACTTGCCCTGGATTTTGGTCTGCAGATTTGGCTTTGATGACTCAGGTTAACTTCATGACCCCGATTTTCATCATCTATAAAGGCCAGATAATGCTGGTGGTGACGCACACCTTTAGTCCCAGTACTTGGGAGGCAGAGGAAGGCGGATCTCTGTGAGTTCAAGGCCAGCCTGGTCTACAAAGTGAATTCCAGGACAGTCAAGGCTACACAGGGAAACCCTGTCTTGAAAAACAAAAAACCCAAACAAAAAGCAGATGATATATCCCATGAAGATCTGTCTTGAGGATCCAAAGAGGTGGCTGAGGTGACATGTAGATGATACATGAGGAGAGGCTGCTGTCCTTTAAAAAATTTTTTTTGACTTATTTATTTTATGTGTATGATATGTATACACGTGTGTAACATATGCATGCCTGGTGCCCACAGAGATCAAAAGAGTGTGTCAGCTCCCCTGGAACTGGAGTTATGGATGGCTGTGAGTCACCATGTGGATGCTGGGAACCAACCTTGGGTTCTCTGGAAGAACAGCAAGTACTCTTAATCACTGAGCCATCTCTCCAGCCTAGGAGGCTGCAATCCTTATTTCTGGGCTGCAGAACTTGTCCTCACCCACTAGGCCATTTCTGATCTCCCATGATCTCCCAGATGCCACTCTGCTAACGATAGAAGGTAAGTATGGGGAGAGATTTCTGTTCCCAGGGCTGAGTTTACTGGATCCCATGCCCGGTTCCCGCCCCATCAAGCATTCGAAGTCAGTGCCTGGAAAAGGGTCATTTCTGCTTCTGCCCCCAAGGGACATGGATGGATTCTAGAAAGATGGTTCCGAAGTAACCCAAGGCAGCATGACTCCAGGAACAGGTAGCAGACAGAGAGGGAGTACCTGGAACAGAGGGGCATCTGGACGGGAGCAGGGCACTGAGGGCATGTCCAGAGGATGCTAGGTTCCCCTGGCTGACCCACCCATGGGGAGGACATGGGCTGATGTCTACATGAGGGCAGAGGAAGGAGGAGAGGTTGCCATGGTGCTGAGTCCCTGGGAGTGGCTGCCTTGGACCCGAAGCTGGAGGAATGCCTCATGAAGGATCCCAGAGTGCAACAGACAGGGCCGTGTGGCCCAACAGTCCACCTCCCAATGCAGAGAGAGCACCAGGGATGCAGGGCTGCCTCGGGGCCCTGCTTACCTGTCACTCTGCTATGATTTCCATGTGGTTGCCACGCAGCTGCGACAAAGGTTTCCTAGTGTAGCGATGGGGCATGAAGCTTGGGCTGGGAGGCAGGTTCGGAGCACAAAGGCAGGACCTCATCCTTCCTCCCTGGGAGTCCATTCCTGCTCTATGGGCCTCTTCTGGCCTCTCAGTTTCCCTGAGGGGTTTGGAGGAAGTGGCCACAGAGGGCAACTGTGGTATTAACATTTTATGATTCTATAGTGCCATGGAGCCCCAGGAGGGGGCCCCTCTTTGAACGCTCTGTCAAAGTAGAGGAGGGATGAGCACACTCAGAGCCCAGTGAGGGACACCATCATGATTCCCTGCCGTTGCCCAGTGGGCAGGTCCAGTGAGGCGAGGGAAAGGCAAGGTCTCTTTTGGGGAGGTAGGCAGCAGAGCCCTGAAGTTAACTCAGACTTCCCAGCTCCACCTGTACGACCCTGGTTCCTGCCTTAGGCCTACCCATCTCTCTGGGAACCAAGGACAGAGCTCCCAGAGGACCCTCGGTCTCTCTTCAAATGTTCTTAATGGATAGCCTCTGGATCTAGGGCCTCCAGGGTGTCCCAGCCAAAAGCAGTGTTGTCACTCTCTGTGAAGCTGAGGTGTGCAGGGGCCTGGAGGAGGAGTGGGCAGCCCCAGGGCATTTAGAGCAACTATATCTATCAAAGTCACCCCTGCCCTAACTTCTACCTCACCGGGAGGCCTTGGCAAGTCTCTGCCCTTCCCTTTCATGCCCCGCCCCCACCCCCTTCAAAAGAGATGGAGAGATGCCTGGAAACCATAGGGGCATTTGTAATTCCAAAGCAGGCAGGAGCAAGTGACCCCAGCTCGTTCCCTGAGACAGGAGTCAGCCTCTCTAGTTCAGACACCAGCTGAGTCTCTGCAGTCCGGGTCACATCCAGCCTTGTCTGGACTCCCTCCTTCCTCGTGCTCTGAGGGGTTTCCTCCCAGGCCCCCCCCCCCCCCCCCCCCCCCCCGCGCGCCCCCACAAGCAAGGCTTTGCAACCCTTCAATCACAAAGATGTGTGGTTTCTATACAGTGGAAAAGCGAGAGGTCGTTTGACTGTCCAAGAACTGGAAACAAGTTCAGTAAATGATGGCACCTGATCCAGGGGTACAAGGCCTCTGGACAAACAGGCTCACAAAGAATAATGACTTGAGAAAATGCTCATTGCCGCTCCAGTGAGAAGGGAGAAAAGCAATCGGTGCATGCAGTCATCTCCACTCTGCCAAAGTGTCAACAGGGATTAGCTCCTGGGGTGGAGGCCCGGGAGCCTTCACATTCTTCTTCATGCCCTCTTTTTTCTGTTTCCCACGTTTATTTATTTATTTACAATGAGCATATACTTTTAAAAACTACTTTAAATCAGAACAAAAATAATTAAGGGCTTAGATTTCTTCCTAGCCAGATTGCCGAAAATCCATTGAAAGTTGTGAGCTCTTGCTGGTTTTGGTGGCTGAGCGCAACATTAAAGCCTTTCCCTGCCCATATTCCTGCCTATGTATACTTCAACTTTTGAAAAGTCCCTGGTGGGTGGTTGCAGCCAAGAGTCACAGATCTTTATACAGGTCCTGTCTATGCCTCTACCCCCACCCCTCAACTACAAGGTCAATAACAGAGCTCATGGCCTCACCCCAGGGACCCTACTCTGAGTCCTGATTGGGAGAAAGGATAAGTGGGTCACCAAGTCTTCTGTGCCATTGGCCTGGCTGGGCCTTTGGGCCTGATTTTTAGATCTGCCTCCCCAGGTTCTTGTTCCTCAGGGTGGGAGACCAAAGCAGTGATAGGTCAGTGGCCATCTCAGCTACCTGGTCTTCCATGGGCTGTGTGTGCCTCCTCGACTCTGGTATGGTTGCTTGTGTACTTGTGTGTGAGTGCGTGCATGTGTGTGTGTGAACATGTGTGCTCTGCTCCAGAGGACAGGCTCAAGAAGGCCTGGGATTCTGAAGTCCCTATAAATGACACGGGTGGAGTTGTGAGTCTGAATCCGCAAAAGAAGAGTTGGGGAGAAGGTGTCTCTGAGAACGCCAAACCCTTGGGGTGTCTCCTGACTGAGGACTAGCTGAGCCCTGAGGTTGAGGCTTTGCATGCACAGACCGAGGACAGGAAACCATCCAGGGATCCCCCAGAGTCCAATTACAGCCTCCTGTGATCACACAGAGCAACAGTAGACCCAGAAAATGTACGGCAGAGCTAGGAGGGGCTGACGAACAACTCAGCTCAGCCGCCGCTCCCTGGAAGAATTCTCCTCGGGAGAAGAACAATAACTCACACTTACTGAGCTTTTTAACCACGTGCCAGGAACCAAACAGCTCTGAGTGCTCATTTTGACTCTATAATTCTGATGGGAGCATATAACAATAGGGGGTGGTGTCGGCGGAGGGCTTTCTCTTCCAGCTGTGACAGCCTGTGAGTGTCACGTTAAACTGCCAACTAACAATAGCTGGGAAAGCTGGGGTGGAGGGGCAAGAAGGCCTTGAAGAATCCCCAAGGGTACCAGGATTCAAAGGGTCTCAATACCAAGATTCTGGGGGGAAAAGGGCACCCCAGAGAAGTGAGCCTGAGCTTCACTTTGGGGCCCTTCCTGCGCGCATGCGCATTGCTAGCTGCTCACCAGTAGCCTCAGGGTATGTCAAAGAAGGAGGGGCCTCAGTGAACAACCTACATTTTCAACTGGCAGCTCCATTGGAAAACACTCCAGAAACAGGAGCAAACCAGAACCAGATCAGCCCTCACGAGGGCTGAGGCCAAACTTGGAATCGGCCACCCCTCACTGGATGCTGGTGACCACCTGCCCAAGGCATTGCTGTCTGTCTGGGCAACAGCTGTCCTTGGGCAGTGGTTCTCAGCCCTCACAGTGTGAGACCCAGTATTCTGCCTCCATTAATTATGGCTCTAGAATGGGGTGTGGCCAGTTTATGGGGTGCTGGGAATCAAACTCAGGGGCTTGTGCTGCTAGGCAAATACTCCGTCAAGTAAGCTACAGCCTTAGCCCTAACTTTATTTTTTTTTTCATGTAATTGGAACTTGAACCTTAAGCATATTAGGCAAGTACTCTACCACTGAGCTACATCCCCAGCCCTGTATTTTTTTTAAATTTTGAGACAGGGTTTCTCTGTGTAGCCTTGGCTGTCCTGGAACTCACTCTGTAGACCAGGCTGGCCCCAAACTCTTGAGATCTGCCTGCTTCTGCCTCCTCAGTCCTGAGATTAAAAGTGTGTACCACCACCATCTAGCACTCTTTTTTGGGATCGTGGGTTCCCCAGGCTACCCCTGAACTTTCCATCCTCCTGCCTCAATCTTCTGCAATAGAACAAAACTGCTCACAAAATAACAGAGACAGCCATGTTTTAGTCCGTTTCGATGAAAGTCCAGCTGGGTGAGGTGGGAGATACCTGCAGTCCCAGCACTTGGGAGAAGTAAGTAGGAGAATCAGGAATTTATGGGCATCTTCAGCTACAAATTGAGCTTAAGGCCAGCCTGGGCTACATGAGACTTTACCTACCCCCCCTCCCATCCCCAAATACCCAAAATTCTAGAAAGGCCAACACTGTAGAGAGCAGATCAATGGTTTCTAAGGGCTGGGAGGCAGGGGGAGGACATTCGGAAGGGGCCCAAGGACTTTTCGGAGTGACAGGACTGTTTCTATCTTGACTTAGGGGTGGTTATATGAATATAACATTATATAATATAATATAATATAATATAATATAATATAATATAATATAATATAATATAATATAATATAATATAATATAAAATTCATATGCAAATATAATTTTTAAATTAAAAAGAGCAAATGCATTATTTAAAAAAAGACAACATAAATTTGGTGGTGTATGCTTGAAACCCCAGCATGAGTTCTAAACCCTTGCCAAGAGCTTCAAATACATCAACTCATTTTACTATCTTATACATGGGGAAACTGGGGCCCAGAGAGGTTAACTCAGATCACACAGCTGGAGAGTGGCAGAACCTGCTAAATCTGTCTGACCAGAGTATGTTCATTTAACCACTAAGAAGAGATACATATGTGCGGTGTGTGTGTGTGTGTGTGTGTGTGTGTGTGTGTGTGTGTGTGTGTGATCAAGTTCTCTAGAATCTGCCGCAGGGCTGTGGCCTGCAGGAGGCTTGCTTAGTCACATGATGACTTCTTAGGAGAGGTGCCCTAAAGGACAGTGTGATTAGGAATTGCGACCGTCAGGTTGGGGCCAACCTTCATCAGAACCATGTAACCTGGTGACATCTAGAGTTGACTTATCTTAACCTGAGCAGGTGTTCTGTGTACTTAATTTTGTTGTTTTTAAATGTTTATTTCTCTTTTTGGTGTGTGTATGTGTGTCCATGTATATGTGAGGACATGTGGAGCTTGGGTGCCAGTCCTCACTTTCACCTGGTTCACAACAGGGTCATTTTATTGTTTCCTGTTGTGTGAATCACACTAGCTGACCCTGGAGTTTCCCATGACTCTCCTGTGTCTACCTCCCACGGCCCTGTAGGAATACCGGGGTTATAGACGTGCACCACAACATCCAGGGGTACGTAACAGTTCTGGGTTCCAGGGATTTGAACTCAGATCCTCACTTGGGCGGCAAAGAGCTTTATCCACTGATCTACCTCCCAGCCCCTGTTTGTTTTTGAGACAGGTTTGGATATGTTGCCAAAGCTGGCACAGAGCTTGCAATTCTCCTGCCTTTACCTCCCAAGTTCCACCAGGGCCAGTTCTATGAACTTTATCTTAAAACCTTACAGCAGAGCCAGATGTGGTGATGCACACCTGTACTTGCCACACTCAAAAGGCTGAGGCAAGAGATTCTTGAGTTCAGCGCCAGCCTGGGCTACATGGAAAGACTCTACAAACAAAGCAAAAAGTAACAAAGCTGATTATTATTGCTCCCCATGTTTCATACAAGAAAACAGAAACCCAGAAAGGCTAAGGAACAGCTAACAGAGTGACCAGGTCTGCATTTGAACTCAGGTTTGATCCATTCCAAAGCCTGGGCACTACTGGACATACTTATCAGGTAGGTTCCCCTGGGAGGCAGGAAAATAAGATTGGAGGGGGAATTGGTTTTGGAAGGGTTAAAACCAGAGTCCTCTGTGAAGAGGAGAAATGGGAGCTTTAAGAAAAGATGAGGAGCCAGGTGGCACACGCCTTTAATCACAGCATTTAGGAGGCAGAGGCAGGTGGATCTCTGAGTTCGAGGCCATCCTGGTCTACAAAGTGAGTTCCAGGACAACCAGAGCTACACAGAGAAACCCTGTCTGGAAAAACCAAAAAAAAAGAAAAGAAAAAAAAAAAAGAAAGATGAAGAGATTTGGGTGACTTGGCAGCCCAGGGTGGCTAGCCCTAGGAGGCCTGGATTCCAATAAGTACAGAGCCACTGTGAGAGTCCTGAACTATCAAGCACCTCTCAGGGCAGCAGGAGAAACGCCCTGGCTCCCCTGGAATTTGCTTTGTAGACCAGGCTGGCCTCAAAACCACAGAGATCCACCACTGCCCGGCCGAGAGACACTTTAAACCAAGAGATCAAAGCTAGTCAGGCAGAAGATTAAATTTAAGTGATTACAATCCGGGGATAAGGTAACATCTTAACAGGCACCAACCATACCATCTTCCAGACAGTAACGCATAAACCGTGTGGCCAACGGTGAGCGCTGTGACTTTGGTCGC